GCGCCTGGGGGGGGGGGGGGGCTGGACAGGAGGGTGGGAGGACCCCAGGATGTCCCGGGAGGGAGGAGGGGAAGGAGTAGAGGGAAGGGTTGTGCGGGGAGAGAGAGATATTTCCACACTTCTTATTGCCAATATAATCAGTTTTTACACTGTTTTAACTAGTCCGGTGCTTGTTCAGATTGTCATTAGCGTGAAGGAAAAGAGAGACGCATTCCGTGGACTCTGTTGCAGGTTTTTTTCGAGCATAAGAGAAAGATGGACAAGCAAGACTCGGTTGATCCTGAAGCAGGAAGAGGCCCGGATGCCATCAGGACTGTGAGCAGTGGGACATTCTGTGAAAAAACGGGGCAGAAGATCTTCGGTGAGGTCGGTGTCAAGTCAGAGGTTCACCACTGGGGCTTCAGGGGATTCTCCTATAATGAGGCTGAGGGGCCCCGAGGGATTTGCGCCCAACTCCATCATCTTTGTCGCGAGTGGCTTCAGCCAGAAAGACACACCAAGGCTCAGCTCCTGGACCTAGTGATCCTGGAGCAGCTCCTGGCCATCCTTCCCCCGGAGATGTCTAGCTGGGTGAGGGAATGTGGAGCGGAGACCAGTTCCCAGGCGGTGGCCCTGGCCGAAGGCTTCCTCCTGAGTCAAGGAGAAGACAGGAACCCGGAAGGACAGCAGGTGAGGGTGTTTCCTCCTGGTCCCTGTGGGGCACTTGTGGGAAGTCCTTGGCCCCTGGACGCCCCTGTTTTTTGTCCCTACGACTCCTAGCAGGGCCCCCAACAGCTGCTGCCGAAATGGCAGGGACTGCATTGCCCCAGCTGCCTTTCACATGAGAACACATTGGGAGTATTCCTAGGGTTTCCGAGCCGGATCACTGTACTCGGAAGTGTCTTATTAGAGAAGATGCCACTTGAAAAGAAGGTGGTCACTGTACCTCGTTTTTATTGCAGCCACATCCTTACGGCCCAGTTATTGCTGCTGCTTGTTCCTTACCTTGAATCTTCCTTCCTCTTCCAGGTTCAAGAGACCTTGTGTCAAGTTCAGTCTTCTTCCTCTGAGGCAGAGGAAGCCCCTGGGGACGCCAGGCAGAGTCTGCTGCAAGAGGCGATCAGGCAGGGTGGGAGTGGAGGTGCCAACGCTCAGGGTAAGGAAGGAGTGATCCTGGGGGGCGGCATGCACTTCAAATGGATGGTCCTCCCTGAAAAATCCAGGATACCCTTCGGCTGCTCTTCTTGTTGGTTTTTGGGAGGGTCTTTGTGGAGATGGGGGTGGATCTTGTAAGGGTCTTGTCTCCATGCTTTTCAATGGTTTAACTGTTTACACTTTGGAGGCTTTAATTGTGGAATAAATTCTTTGATTTGTGGATAGAAGATGATAGGAGGAGCTATGCCTCTTACCCAAACAACACTTCACCGAAAAGAACAGTTACCAAAGTAAGAGATCTTGATACCTCCATGTGTTTAGACTTTTATTGCTTGTCTGTGTGTTTCTTTAAATATTATATTTCTGGCATTACAATTGCTCAGGTAATCCTCATGATACTTCTCATAAAGGTATAAAAATCGGTGTGCCATTTGCCTGCTGGGCCTAATTCAAGATGTCAGTATGAACTGACTGGCGGATCTCTCAATAGTTTAGGACTCTGGCTTTGGAGGCAGACAATGAGAGTTTGATTCCCCACTGGGCCTCCTAGGCAGGGCCTGGACTCAACGCACCATATGGTCCCAGCTGTGCAGTTCATCATCATCAACAACATCATCATCTAATTTTAAAGTTCTAAAGGACTAGGGCCCTGGCTTTCTAAGAGATTACCTGTCTTGTGATTCATCTAACTGGATGCTAAAGTCTTACGGAGAAGGCTCTCTTTAAAACAGCAAATATTTCCGAGGCCTCCCAAGAAGAACAAAGGAACAAGCTTTCTCCTGAGTAACTCTCAGATTGTGGAATGCTCTCCTTTCCAAGATGAAATCTGTGTCTCCTCTGACTTTGCTTAAGAAGGAAGTGAAAACATCTCATTAGCTTGGCAGATGGTGTCTAACCAGACCTTTTGCGTTGTTTTTAACTGTATCCTTTGCTGATATTAGCAAAGTACAGTATCTGTTGTACTTACTTGATTTTGATCATTTCTTTGGTACAGTTGGTTTTATTAGGAAAAAAATTGTGCTTTTTACCTAGTCTCCATGTTTGAGACAAGTGATGGGCTGGCTTTCCACACCCTTCTTTTTCCCCACAGGAAATCAAACCAAGGTAGTCACGAGGACTCAGTTACCCCTTCTTGGTGACGGAGAAGAACCACATCAGGTAGGAGGAAGAGACACGGAGAAGACCAGACCTGCTTCTGTCCTCAGCTGCTTTCTCTAGGAAAGAAGAGGAGAAATTGGGCCCTCTTTGTTTCTGATGAGATGAAAACCCATACAGTGGTGCCCCGCATTGCAACGTTAATCCGTTCCAGGAAGAACGTCGCTATCCGGAAACGTCGCTATGTGGGGGAGGGAACCCCATAGGAACTCATTAAACTCAGTTTAATGCGTTCCTGTGGGGACAAAACTCACCGCTAAGCGGGAATCTTCAATCCGGCCACCATTTTCGCCGCCTCGGTAAGCGAGGAATCGACGCGAAAACACTGCGGGCGGCCATTTTCTTCTTCAGACGGCCATTTTTGAACCACCGATCAGCTGTTCCAAAACATCGCAATGCGAAGATCAGTAAGCATAACGCTTACGGATCACCGCAATGCAATGTTTTTCCTGTTCAGAACATGGCAATGCGATCGCATTAGCGATCGCAGAAAACACGTCGCTATGCGGATTCGTCATTAAACGGTGTGCTTGTTAAGCGAGGCACCACTCTATATTTCTTCATGTATGAGCTAGAAAGACGTTGACAGTGACTTTGAGTTACCTATCCATCCGGAGCTAGGCGTCTGAGGGCTTAACTTTTTTAACAGTTGAGTTTGAATATCTGTGTATTCAGCTATATTGGCCCTTATTTAGAGTTGCAGCTTCTTTCCCCCACAAAGAATGTTCCTTGGCTTCAGCGCCTCTGTAGCAGACACATATAACATGGTAGTTTCTGTGCTGTAATAGCATAATCTATTACTTTTAGCCTGTTGAAATATTGAGAAATAATTTAGAAAATAATTATCAACACCTTTCCTGATCAGACAAAATGATCTTGGAGTCTGAAAACAGTCAATTCCTCAGAGCAGTTTAAAAAGACACTTGCTGTGAGATTGACTTTGTGTGAGCCCTGAGGAAAGCCTCCTTTCTTTTTCATGCAGAGCCCAGTGACCTTTGAAGAAGTGGCCGTGTGTTTCACCCAGGAGGAGTGGGCGCTGCTGGATCCTGACCAAAGGGCCCTACACAAGGAGGTCATGGAGGAGAATGCCAGGATTGTGACATCTCTAGGTAAGGCTCCTTCCTTCCCCAAATGGTGATGATTATCTCCTTAGAGACACAAAAATACGAACAAGTATAAACACAGAAATGCTGGCTCTGAGCAGTGTCCCAGCTCACCCCACCCACGGGCCCTTCCTTGGGATATCACTGCAGTCCTTGAAGGCAGTGATCCCCAACCTTGGGCCTCCAGATGTTCTTGGACTACAACTCCCAGAAGCCTTCACCACCATCTCTGCTGGCCAGGATTTCTGGGAGTTGAAGTCGAAGAACATCTGGAGGCCTTCGGTTGGGGACCATTGCTGTAAGGAACTGTTAGAGAGGCCTGAGGAGAGCCATAGATTGTCAAAATGTAGGAGTCTAAAAGTTCCCCTCCCCCTGTGATAAGGGGTGTCGAGGAGGGGTTTCTCCTTAATTAGAAATAGGATTTTGGCCATGGGCACCCCCTGTAGAGGCCGAAGCACAAGGAGACGACCACTCCCAGAAAACGTCATGGCAGCTCCCCTTCTGGTACATTTACAACATGAAGTGGGCAGGAGAGACGGTCATAGAGCCACCACGACAGGCCCAGAGATTTCCACAGCATGTCAGTGGTCTTGTTAGATTATGAAATA